AAGTATTTCATACTTATATTAGGTTTATTAGTAAAGGGAATGGTTGGATAATTCCTAAGTGTGTGATTTATATGTTAAATTAGGTTTTTACTTAACTTAAAGGGAGGAAGATTGTTCAAGATTTATATACTGATAATAAAATGATACAGTTCGATATAAGAAGTATTTCGTACTTATATTAGGTTTATTAGTAAAGAGAAGGGTTGGATAATTCGTAACGGTGTGATTTATGTGTCAAATTAGTTTTTCACTTAACTTAAAGGGAGGAAGATTGTTCGAGATTTATATACTGTTAAAAAATGATAAAGTTCGGTGTAAGAAGTATTTCGTACTTATATTAGGTTTATTAGTAAAGGAAAGGGTTGGATAATTCGTAATGGGGTGATTTCTGTGTCAAATTAGGTTCTTGACTTAACTTAAAGGGAGGAACATTGTTCGAGGTTTATAAGGAGTTCATCTGTATTTATGTGTGATTCTTTTTGTTAATCGATCGCCATTTTTTGGACTAGAGCATACACATTCATGGACCGGGATATTTTCATTCCCTCGTATTTGGTTGATTTGATTTTGATTCTGACTTAATGTGTTGGTCAATCTTTTAGAAGGTTAAACGTGTTTATTTTTCTCAGAAAGTATTAATTTTTTTTTAAAAAAATTAGTTTCCTCCCCAAACACTTTTAAAAAGCGAGTCCGGAGCCAAAAGGGTACAAAATATTAATGAAAAATTCAAAACGATATATAAAATTTTATATTAACAAAAACGACAAAATCGCTGCATCAACAGCGATTTACTCCACCGAAAAAAGTAAAATCGCTGCAGACGTTTTGAAATTTTTGTTCATATTTTGTATCCTATAGGCTCCGGACTCTTTAAAAAGCTTGGCTAGATGCTAATAAGTAATGATTGCTCAAAAATATTTTTAAAATTTATTTGTTAAACACAAACTGCTTCAAAAATAAATAAATAATTAGAGTTCTTTTCAAACTAAGCTGATTTTAGAAATTTGGTTAAATAGACAAAAATAAAGAGAAAAATATATTAAATGATAGTTAATCCTCGAGGTAAAATAACTCAAGTTTTCAATAATATGCGGTATTTAATTTTCTTGTAGAAGGAGTGTTAACAGATAGCATTGTATAATTTTTTAAATATACACAAATTTTTTTTTTAACTTTACAAAAAAAATCATAAAATTTAATTTTTCGTATTTTGAATTCTCTTAGAAAAAATAATTGCCCCGCAAATGTAGGTTACTGTATTTATTAGATAATATCAAATAATGTATTTGACCTCATAATGATATTGACGTATGCATGTTAATTTATTACTAATAAATAAGGCCGTGTTTGGATGCAAAGTTCTATTAAAGCTACACTCTTTAATTAGTTCACCTACAGCCAACTTAAATTGAATATTTTATATTAGACTTTTCTTATTTTTTTTGTTTTATTATTTTCAATTTGGAGACTTTAATTTGAGGGGCCAAACAAACTTCCCTATGTGTTGGAACTCAGCAGTCTTAAAGTTTGTCTAGACAAAGATTCTCAAAGAACTTTGTGATGTTTCTAATTTAATAGTTATTTTTTTTATTTTTTGTCCTCTAATATACTTTTTACGATTTTGAATTGACATATATTTTAAGAAATAATAAATAATAGAGGTATATTATTTATTAATTTTTGAATAAATATTTTAGATATTAAATAGTATCTAATAGCAAGCATAAAATAGATACAAAAAGGGCTTTAGCTGGGATTTTAGATTTTTCTTTTGGTGATAAAAAGAATTGGGAAAATAATATATGTATTTGATTAAATCTTTGAATTCTTTTTATTTATTAATGAATAGATCTAGTAGTGTCGAAATTAAAAATTTCGTTAAGAATATTCAAGATTTAATATATCCATATGAAAATATTATTTGACTTTTTGTCCTCTACTATATTTTTCTTTTAACAGTAATATTTATTGCTGTAAGTATATTTACAAACTATTGAGTATATATTATTACATTCAGGATCGCTAAAACTTTTAACGAACCAACTCTTGAACAATTAAAAATTACATTTTCTGTTGTATGAGGAATATGAACATAGGATCTAAGAAAAGAAAGATTTACACTTTCAGCAGAAAATGAATAATTACATCAAGAAATACAATCTCAGAAGGTAATTAAACACCATAGTTTTTATCAACAAACATTATGTTATGTGTTATTTTTACCTTTTAATTGAGACTGAACTTCACTGGGTATGTTGTTATTGACTTGCTGTACTTATGACAATCTTCTTTATAATCTCATCCACATTGTCCAAACATTATGTTATGTGTTATTTTACATTTTACTCGAGATTGAACTTCACTGGATATGTTGTTGACTTGTTATACTCATGACGATCTTCTTTATAATCTCATCCACATTGTCCACGAAAGACGTTGTTCCATCCAAATTCTTGTATCATACTTTGAGATTCGTTTAAACAGGAGGCGCGAGTGGCATTGGTTTGGAAACATCAAGAGTTTTAGCAATGAGGAATGTTCATGTTATTATTGCAGCACGTAATATGGAGGTCGCGAATGAGGCTAAACAATCCATTCTCAAGAACAACAAAAATGCTCGTATCGATGTTGAGAAGCTTGACTTGAGCTCAATTAGATCTGTCAAGTCATTTGCTGATAATTTCAAAGCACTTGATCTTCCTCTCAACATCTTAATGTAATTTGCTACATCTCTTTGTTCGCGTTATAATTGAGTTCTTAGTTTTGGAAAAAAACAGAACATATTTGTCTAATGAGACTTTTGCAAATAAAAAAAAAAACAGAAACAATGCAGGTATTATGTTCTGTCCATTTCAACTCTCAGAAGACGGCGTTGAGATGCAATTCGCAACAAATCATCTAGGTATATATATATATATACTCTGTCTAACTCTGTTACTTTATAGATAGAAGTGTATGTACGTAGAGTTGAACATAGTAAAATAGTAATGTCTCGAAAATCTTATCACACTCATTCAGAACAATAGGGTTGTTATGCTCATTATTCATCAGAGGTTGAATCGATCATCAGAAGAAGAATATAAAAAAACTCAAAATTCTATTGAAGAGAAGCAAATGAAAGACTTTCATAAACGTTGTCGTAGTTAGCAAACCTCTAAAAGAAACTCATTTTTTTAAATGGATTTTTCAGGTCATTTCTACTTGACTAATCTTCTACTAGACAAAATGAAGGAAACATCAAAATCTAGTGGTGTTGAGGGTAGAATTGTGAACTTATCATCAGTAGCTCATATTTGCCCTTACAAAGGAGGAATAAGATTTCAAAAGATAAACAAAAAAAACAGGTATATAACCGTTCTACGTTGCTCAGACTCTATAAAAATATTGTCGTTTCAGTATCAAAATCCATCAAAAAAGACTACTTTTAAGAGGATCTGATACACACTTGCACGATTTTTAAAGAGTCAGAGCAACACAGATACTAACCTATTAATAATATATTCACTTACTATCTATTGTTTTTTTTTTTGAATAGTTATCAAAACAAACTAGCATATGCTCAATCCAAATTAGCAAACATATTACATGCCAATGAACTTTCGCGCCGTTTACAGGTAATTAACTAAACTCGATGTTTATTAGACCCTCTGTGAACTGTCTCATCTAAAAGTTTAAACTGTTAATTATTTCATATCATCAAATACAGGAAGAGGGAGCAAATATAACTGTCAATTCAGTTCATCCAGGACTAATTATGACTCCCCTCATGAGGCATTCTGCTCTTTTGATGAGTATGTATTAAACATTTCACAATATTTATTTTTTTGGATTACAATTCGGATCGCGCTCTGTAGGGCCCATTAAGGAGAGGTCCAACGTGATATATTATAATTTTTTAATCACTTGGATTTTGTTTGACAGGAATTTTTAGGGCTTTCACTTGTATCCTGTGGAAGAATGTCCCACAGGTAAAAAATGAATTCCAGTGGCTGAGCCAGGATTTTCACTAATCGTATTCAAAACATTTTAAAAAAAGAGTAATACGTGAAGGTGTTAAAGGGATTCAATATCTAATATATGTGAAATCATGACATTATATACAATATAATTTTCCGTTACGAATTTTTCAGGGGGCAGCTACAACATGTTATGTTGCACTTCATCCAAGTTTAAAAGGGGTGACTGGAAAGTACTACTATGACTGCAATGAGTACAAGCCAAGCAAGCTAGCGCGAAACGAAGCTTTAGCAAAAAACCTTTGGGATTTTAGCAACAATTTGGTGAATGCATCTCTAAAAAATTGATTGGTAACAAAATGCAGTTGTTGAGAAGAAAATATTACTACTATTTCATTCACATTTTTATGAAATTTGTTAGGTTTTTGTTTGAGTTTTAAGCTTTGTTAGTTCTGCTTCAAATTTGAGGGATTGTCTATCTATTAACTATTCTCTTTTTCTCAATTAATGTAATACACTTTTCTTTTTAATTCGTTCAAAAACAATTAAATGCTCCTCCATGACGCTTTATATGATAATACATGTGAGATACACTCAAACTAATTTGTATGTCACGTAGAACACATGTGTGCTCAACTTTAAATAAGCTTAAATATTTGAAGAATGTATATATCAACTGAGGACAAGATAAAATGTATAGTGGCCGAGTCAGAATTCTCACAGAATGTCTGGTGTGTTCTATTCTAGTAGTAGTATTTTGAATATGCACAAGCCAGCATAAACACCATAGTAATAAAGACATCTACATGGACAATTAAACTTAAAATGGAAATTATGTTAAACTGTGACTAACAGTGACTCTAATTTTTGAGGGGGCAGCTACAACATGTTATGTTGCATTTCATCAAAGTTTTAAAGGGGTGACAGGAAAGTACTACTATGACTGCAATGAGCACAAGCCAAGCAAGCTAGCGCGATACGAAGCTTTAGCAAAAAAAATAAAAAACCTTTGGGATTTCAGCAACAACCTGATTAATGCATCTCTAAAGACTTGAGAAAGAAACTACTAAAACAAAAGAACTGCTTAAAAGGTGTTTAACAAACTTGTGGAGTCTTAGGACCCAACTGGCAATCATCTCCGTTGCGTTTGCAAGGCGTACCAAACTCGGTGCCCATACTTGTACTAAAAGAAACAGCCCATACGACTAATCACTTGAGTTTTCCAAAATATATTCATAGTAATATTAAGTCAGCAACAATTCAGCAGAGTAAGACAATCAGAAACGACGGATAACATTCCTAATAAGTCTGCAGTAACAAGCAAAGAGGGACTTCCGCTGTCAAGTTCCTCCGACTTGTCTCTTCCATGAATCCTCAACAATCAATTCATCAACTCCCCAATCTTCATAACTAATAAAACACAAGATGAAATTAATTTTAAGCGAGAAACGACAAGAATAGGATGAGGGAAGGAAAGAGGAAGATATAGTAACAGATGCTTAAAGACGAAGATAGTCTTGCCTTCCATCAGGCAAGTAACGGCGAATTGTGAATGGTATCTTCCTCTCTCGGAGCTCTTTCATTGCAATCTTTTAGCACAAATGAATTTCGACAAAAAAGATATCAGTCAATCTACAAACTTCACCAAATAGACATGTTGCACAATCTGCATTTTAAAAAAAAGGCTTACCTCAAGTGGGTCAGTTTCTCCTTCCAGCTCAACCATCACAGGTGCATTCATGCTGCTCGAGGAAAAAACAACTCACCAAGTCAGAGAACATATCTATTGCATCTCTTACGAGTTATCAAACTATACAGTAAGGCCTTGTCAAAAGCAGAATTGAGGAAAAAGCAAAATGACCTGATCTGGAGTGCACGAGTTCCCAGGATTCTCGCACGTTCATATTTTGTCATAAACTTTGATGTTTTACGAGGTCGTTCCACAGGTTCTTGCTGCTCTGTTTTTTCCTCACCTTCACCCATCAGGGGATCTGGTATGTCGTCATTGTTGCCATTATCTTCTTCAATCTCTGCTCCTTCCTGTCGGTTAAGCACAATAACGAAAAATACTTCATCATATACTTATCCTGCATAAACATACTAATAATGAGGATTACAAATAAGATAAATCATCTTACATCAGGTTCAGGATCCATTGGCTCGTCCACGTATCTGCACAAATGTAACAGATAAGATGCCTAATAGGTACAATATCCAATGACATTTACCAAAATCAAATGTAAATTATATTCATAAACACCAAGGGAAAAAACCACAAAAAGATAAACCAAGTCACCAACGAGTTTAACCACAAAAATAGCTACTAGGAAAGGTCAATACCCTACCCAATGCATATAGTGATCTAGGGAAAGCTTGAAACCAAAAAAGTAAAAAGCTGCTGAGTTTATACAAGCATGCACTTCAGAAAGCAATATATACACTGAGAAGGTTTGCTGCAATTTTGAAATACTCAGATGTTTAAATATATTTGAACACTCTGTCGTATTAGTAATACAAAGCATTTCTTGAGCAAAAAAAGGACACTAGTAACATCAGTGCTAAATGACCTTCAAGCACAGCTGATCATCCTCTCCAATTCTTGCTTTTTTCAGGTAGCTTTTCTTTACACCTATTTAGCGAGTGGGGCATTGGTCATATAAGAAATTCGTAGAAGGGATAAAACAAGAATAAAGAAGAGAAAGAAAGAGATGGAAGGTTCTTCATGTGAAATAACTCCAATATGCAGCTAGTTAAATAACTAACTAGCCAAGGTTCACAATAATCTCTATATCAATGCAAGTGATCTACTAAAAGCAGCAATCCACACAAGTTGAACTTGGCGCGAAGCAGTTATTGAGCAACCTCATTCTACCTAATGCTTAAAGGGTATTTCTCCACCATATTCTACAAGGTCATGCTAAGAATACTTTTCCAGGTATATATAGATCATTGTCGTTAGATAGTTTGAATCGCATCATTTAAAATCTTAAAATGGTGGAGAAGTTTCAACTTGTTTATTTGGATATGGAATATGCTCCTCACATGTGGGTCTAACTTCTTTTCTTTTGCACCATGCAAACGGAAGTACAAAAACTACACCTCAATCCCAAACAAGTTGAGGTCGGCTACATGAATCTTCACTGACTATTTTTCCAGTTTAAGCTTAACTCATGTCAACACGATTTTGTTAGTTTGTGACGATAAAACCCAAACTAGAAATTCTTCCACCCCTGTTACCATTTTGAGTTGTCTGAACTGCCTTGTTTCTCTAAAAGCTTAAACTTTCATAAAAGGGACACCTTTACTAGTTTACTTTAGGTCCTCACCACTTCAAACAGAAAAATCAACAATCATAGACTAAGAATAAGCCCGAAAGTTCTCCCATGCTTAAAGGAACATCAAAATCTACTGAAGAGCCAAAACAATCATTCATCAAAAACAACTATTTAGCCAGATACAGTAGGAAAAACTCAAAAAAAAAAACCTAAAAGGCTAAAACACAAATTAGCAAAACCCTAGCCTAGACCACAAGCTAAACAACGAACCAGTAAAATCAAACAAACCCCCAAAATAAGTTTTTCCATAAACCCTAACCCTAAACCCTAAAAAAGTTCATACTCAATAGGCAAATCAATTGATATTACACATAATAAAACCAAACAAACATCAAATTTCAACAAGATAAAAGCAATTAAGGACGGCGGCACTAACCCTCCGTCCATATCATAATCATCGTCCGCCATTGTTGCGTCGGCGTCAAAGCTTTCTTTTCAATTTGTGTAATACGGAGAGAACGCAGCTTTGAAACCAAATGGAACTGAAAATATTTTGCCCTTTCTGCGCCTTTAATATCATATATTATATTGTGGGGTTATTTTTATTATTTTAGACGTATACTATTATATAAACAGGAAAATTGTATATAATAATAAATTATTAATTTAAATTAAATGTTATAAATATATAACTTTGAATTAATTGTATACTATAGCAACCAAATAAAGATTCGGTCAAGTATACTTAAGTTAAGTAATATTTAATGACCTTATAATTTATGCCGTGTGTACTATATAATAATTTATGGTTGAGATCCATTCAAATTATACACTCATTAATTATAATAATAAAAACAAAAAAGTTATTAACTTTTTTATTTTTTAAAACTATCAAATAAAGCAATTATGTGCACCCAAGCCAATATTTTCAAGAAAAAGAAGTTAAGATTGACGAGAATATACGAACTTTCTGACTTTTTACCCGACAAACTTGATCGTGAGTAATTTTCACACATATTTTCTCCAAATTCTGAAGTAATCTCCAAGAATAGACAAATTTTAAAAACATAATTGAGTTCTAAATAATAATTTAACTAAAGAACATGATAATACAATTTTATTTTTTTAAAAAATACTTAGCTGGAGGTTTTCAAATAATTATAAAAATATATTTATTTAGATTTTTCAAAAATGTCGGATTCTTTAAAATTAGTATAATATAAAAAATCCAATACAAGTACGAGGTTTGACAGATAAAAAAATCGGGAAGTCCACATATTTCTGTCAGTCTTATTTTTTTTCTTGAAAATATTAATTAGGGTACACTTAATTGTTTTATTTGATAGTATTAAAAAATAAAAATAATTATCACTTTTGTTATTTTTATTATTGAAATGAATATATAATTTAAATGAATCTCAACCATAAATTATTATACAATACATATGACATGAATCTAAGGCCACTGAACATTACTTGACCTAATTATACTTGACCGAATCTTTATCCATAGCATACTATAGCTATTTTCATACTATAGCTATTTTCGCCACTCTCCTTAGTGGAATCTTGCTCGCCACTCTCGTTTGGTGGCAGTCTCACTCGCCTTTCTCGTTTTTTATATAAACACAAATGTATAAATGAGTTTGTGTTTGTATAAAGCGAGAGAAAATTGTATAAATACATATATTTTCATTCCCCTTTCTCCCCTCTGCCAGATCTCACTTGCCACTCTCCCTAATCTCGCTCGCTACCCTCGCCTCTCTCGCTTATACAAACAGAAACAAAATGTATAATTTGTGTTTCTGTTTGTATAAAGCGAGAAAAAACTATATATACACATGCAGATACATATATTTTCTTCCTATATGCTTATAATTATACAATAAAAATACTCCCCTGCCTAGTTTCTTTTGACTTTATCTCTTTCTCGTTTTATACAAATTCAAATTATATATAATTTCTCTCTTTCTCATTTTATACAATTTGATTCAATTGTATATTCCCCGGTCAAGTCTCTTTTGCCTTTCTCTATTTCTCATTTTATACAAATTTAGATTGTATATAATCGTCCTATACATAAAACAAATATTTCCCTGCCCAAGTCTCTTTTGCCTTTCTCTCTTTCTCGTATTATACAAATTCAAATTGTATATAATTTCTCTCTTTCTCGTTTTATACAATTCGCTTAAATTGTATATGCATAGCGAATTATACATACATATGTTTGCTATGGAGCGCAATTATATAAATTTTGCTGTATCATACAAATATGAATTTTATGTTTGTTATATGTGAAAGTTGCCCCTATATAAAATGTATCTATTAAACACTTTGGAAAAACTATTATGCTTTTTTCATGTATCTATTATATAGTTAAGTATCACTGCATTGAATTTATAATTAACCTCAATAAACAATAGAACTCCGTTTCTCAGATCAAGGTCGAATTTCAGGTTCCAGTTGGTTGGACCGGGATTGGGATTGGGTCCAAGGTCTCAAGTCTGTATCAAGGTTAGGCCTTGGATTCAGGTCTCTAGTCTTGGGTCGGAGCTGGGTCTTGCATCTAAAGTTAGGTTTTGGGTTATGGCCTGGACCAAAATCAGGATCGGTGTTCGATCTTGGACAATTTACTTGTCTAGTGGGTGAAAAATACCATCAACCATAAAAAATAATAATTTATAGTGCAAGACGATAACACAAACCCTACACAAAATATTACATTATATGATTTAAAGAGTGTTAAACAGGCGGGGCAGAATCAAATTTAAGAGGTTAGAATGAGATAAAATAAAAATTGATTTGGGTCATGATCCATTCAAATTTACTTTTAACCAAGCCAGACTAAGAAATGAGTTGGTTATAATCGAACTATTTTGATCCATTTAACCTAAAACAATATTGACATGCATACTAATGTAATTAATAAAAAAGAAAAATGACCAAATACGCTAAAAGATGAAAAGCCAAAAGAATTAGGGACTCAAACCCAACTCGGAACTTTAAGATCTAGGACCCAAACCAAAATATCCGACCTCGACCTATATATATATATATATCACTCAATGTGTTTATCATAATTTTAATTTTAATTTAAAGCCTAATAATTTTGATATACGGATTACATCTACTTTTGAGTAGGGGTATTCACAGTTAGGATAAAAACCGATCAAAACCAAAAAATTGAACCAAATCGATTAACTAAATCAATTTTTATTTGGGTTTGGTGTGGTTCGGTTTTAGATTTCTAAAAATCCATATTATATGGGTTGATTATGGTTTTGTTTGAAAAAATTAAATAAATAACCAAATCAGACTGACAAATTATATACATATATTTTATTAATATACATACATCATATATTATTTTTATAAATAATTTTAAATATCTTATATGTGTTTTCATCAAAATAAAATAATAATCTATGAAATAAAAAATGTCCAAGGTGAGAATATTTATCTTATTGGTTTTATTTATATGAGTGTGTCTATGAGAATTCTCTATGAGATTGAAAATAACACTTTCTCTTTCTTCCAAGCCAAAATAATGACTTTTGAAGCTTTAGTAAGATTAAATTCAATGATTGAAAGCTTTATAATGTCATCCATTCTAACTATTTTTATTTTAAAATGGATTGTTGTCACTTTTTTTTATGTTTTGAATAAGTTGTTTCTTTTTTTTTCTATGGTTAATAACCGAATAACCAAACCAAATCGAACCAAAACCGATAAATATATACTATATTTGGTTTGGTTTGATTTTGATAATTTTAAAACCGACTAAGTTGGTTTGATTTTGATTTTGACCAATAATCGATCCAAACCAACGCGTGAAAACCCCTACTCTTGAGTAACAAATAGAGTTGTGTTTTTACGGTCCAACTACTTAAAATTTCATTGTTTTAGTAGTTATTTAACTTTAAAGTAAATAAGGAACCAAAAATATTCTTCAATCGCCATAAACGTGAATATACTTGATATAATTAACTTGCATCGTTACAACTCCAAAAATATACATAGATGCTCTTGCTCACCCCATTGGTAAGAAGCAATGAGGGAAGAGATATAAATACTAATGTAGTCGGTTCAAAATGGATTTATCGAGTCAAATTTTTAAGACCTAAAAAACTTCTTAGTTAAGTCCTTAGTTATTCTTCATTTGCATATAAGATCTCAGGTGATATTTCAATTATGATTAGGCGTTAAGGTCAATTGTATAGTGTAACATTAAACTTGAAGATGGATTAAGATTACAAGAAATCTTTAGCACAAAGTTGAGTTGAAAACTTCCTTATTGATTAAGTTTTGAGATAAGATTATACTTATGCCAACTTCAAATAATCATATCACGACATATAATGAATTAGGTAGCTCATGATCTATCAAAATGAAAGTCAGTCACTTTCAATGCCATCAAATTTTCCCCAATCCAAATTCTGAGTAAAAAGTTATAACTGATTTACTAGAGACACTGTAACCTAGCAGTAGCTCAACGATGTCTCCTCATTAAAGAGTGAATACATACCTCACTGTCCGCTAGAATAAAATTCTGACTTCCAGCTCTTTTTAAAAAAAAAATTAAAAACCTCCAGGGAGTCATATAAATCACCCTAAACATGTAAAAAATGAGTTTTCACAATCAAACCTCTCATGAACACCTAAATTTTTGTTAAGATTCTTCAAAAATTTGTTTTTTCAGGTATGTAAGGCTATCATAATGTTGAACTAGTTCGTCCTCAAGCCCTATATCTACTTTTTATCCGTAAGGGAGTAATCTAAAGTTCTATCCTTAGTTTTGAATATTCTTAAGATGAGTTTGGTGTTAAGTTTCGAGTTCTTGAATTTCTTTGAGTTTCTATTCCTAATTATTGAGTTGTATTTTATTGTGTATTGAGATTGTTCAGTTGGTTATTCATGTCTATTTTTCAGCATGAACTCTATCTCCGAGTATTCATTGAATTCTTATTAAGGATATTTCAGACAAACATTATCATTTTAAATTGATTTATCTGAGAAAGCAAAGAGGAATTTTGAGAAAGAGCTTTAAACATGATTTGAGTTAAAGTATAATAGAACTAAGTATTCCCAAAGGTATCACCTTTTACGGTGAGAAAAGAGAAACCTTATTTTCTAATGAGTAATAACTTCAGAGCCTTACCTATTTTAAGAGGATATTTGAGCAAGTGCCTCAAATATAGAGAAATACTACGTTTTGTAGATTTGAGCTTAAGTGTATATTGTTGGGAGTAGTATTGAGCACCGATATGAGAACGAGTTTAAACAACTCAACATTCTCATAAATCATGTCACCAATATTTGTATAAACTTTATTAGATGAATCCTTATTGCTTAGTGGATCCACTTGGTTGAGAGGTTCTATACTTCGACAATGTATATGACAGTTCTAACAATGTGGGTGAGACGTATTATCACTTAGCTCATAATTATAGTTGTCGATTAGAAAATCTCCCAAATAAAGTTAAAAGTGTATTTTAATCGTATCACTTAATATGTTGAGTTCAGAGATGAGTAAGCATTTTCGCTTTGGCTATATTATATACTTATGAATTTAATGTACTGATGTCATTAA